TTAGGAATATTATGGAGGCTTACTTGTGAATGGTTTTGGAGATATGGAATGGAAATAGGCTTGAAAGAAATCTTTGTTCTCCTTCTGCAGCTCTCTCCACACTGCATGACTCCATTACTTGAAATTGATAGAAGTAATCATAGGGCGAATGGAGAACGCGTGCGCTTTCAAATTATATGCATAAATTATTTTGGGCAAACCATCACGAGGATGATGAATTTATTTCTAGTGTTACAACTTACGAGGGGACTAGAATTGACCTCTAGAAAGCAAAACCAACGGGATACTCACCTATCTAATAACTAGGAGCTAAAGTGAATACAAATGACAAAGATGAAAGTCTTATAAAGCACATGATTATATGCAAAAAAAAAAAAAGAGAAAAAAGAGAAACTTGATATATACATGTACGATCCTCACGTATATATGATCCTCAGCACCAAATTACAAAGGAGACGAGAAGTGACTATGCCCTTGTTTGGCGGCCTTTAATTTACTTTAATTTATTTCTCATGCTTATTTTCAACCACACAATTATACAATAAAATAATCTATACATAAACCCAAAACCTTTTCATACTTTTTAACCACATATTCTAAGAAAAAAATTCAAAACATAATTTTTTAAGTTTAAAGGCCACCAAACAGGGCTATACCTACGAGTGTTACGACGGGGTGGATTCTTGCACGCTCTGCTAATGCCTTGATGCATTGGTCTCGATCCATATGAAGTAATAAGCACCTCTCTATAAGATTCTGAACCTGTAATTAATTTACAAATGCATGCACCATTTGTACTCATGATCAAGATTTATTTAACATATTCGAGTAATATAGATATATTAAACAATTAACCCAAAAGAAGACAAAAGAATATGATACCATTCTAATGTAAGTACGAGGGTGGCAATGCAAACAAGGAAGAGGATGCTGATTATGATACTGATACATCTCTCTTTGGATGGAAATGGACAAAACAACTAGAATTGTATACTGTAAGAAAGTTGTAAGAAAATGAATGCAAACAAATGATGAAAAGTGCAATATATTAAGACCCAACAATCTTGGAATATGTTGGTTGGGTGGTATAGAAATTGTTATCCACAGATATCTAAGCGAAGGGCCAAAAAAGCACAAGAAATCCAAACAAGAGATTGACCTCATCTTATAACAGATAAGAGAATTAAGGATGTTGGGTCGGATCGATGTTTCTAAGGATTAGTTTTCATGTTCGTGGCTAAGTCCAAGCCAATCATCACTTGAACGAACAATCTAATTCTGCATTTCTTTGGTCCCACATTTTTCATAGTGATATAAATATGAAATGCAGCAGTGGTCCCCCAACGAGGTATACAAGGCTATAGCCTAGTGGTAAAACTATTAATTCTCGTTATGTTTCTCCTTATTTTTTCTTTTGAGAAATTTGTGTACCCAAAATTGATTAATTTTATGTTTTCTTAACAAAGTTTTCAATAATATGTATCCTTCTGTTGTTTTCTTTAAATACTACTCTCTCTAAAAGATATTGCTATGTCATTAAGCGGTGCAGTCCACTATAATATCGTCGTTAGCACCTGCGGCCGTAATATTCCACGAGCTAAAATTCCAAGAATCGCCATCTTGATGTAGACATAGGTCGCCAACCTATTCAAGCTGTGCATTTGAGTCCTCAGTTGACAGAAGTCAGTTTGACACCACCTCCACTGCGTCAGCCCACCAGCAGTAG